TGACAGCTCATTTTGGTTTCTTGCAGTAAATTAACCCGTACGGTGAAAAGACACCTGAAGTACCTGAAGAGCAGGTAGCGCACTCGGAAGCATTCTGTGTGTTCTGTAGGTAACTCTGTGCATTCCAGCGTGACGGGGATCGCACACAGCTCGCTTTCTTCTCCAAGCAGCTCCACTGGCTTCTCACATACGACGAACTCATCTAGCTCAAACTGCGAAGTGTGTGTCGAGAAGTCTTCCTCTTCTACACCTGAAGAACGAAATGCTGTATTAATTGTTCAAACCCTTCCGTTCAGCAGTAAGGAAAAAAGGTGGCAACGAAATACCGCAGCTGCCCAGCACTGGCTCCCCCACACCCCGCTATCTGGAGCACAGCTAGGTGGGAAGATGAGTGCAAGCCTCACCAGCCTGAAGAGCCCAGAGCCAAGGCTCCTGAAAGAACAGGCAAACTGCCCACTGTAGGGCAAGGCCAGGGCAAGCTGTGCTGCAAACGGCTGGCCACCAAAACTCGCCCTTGGGCTGGTTTCAGGATGGAAGGGCAGCTGTGTTACCACTGCAGTCTGGGAAGCAAATCCTAACAACAGCAATCAGAAAGTAGTTTGAACTTTTCCTTTAGTTTTTCGTAGCAAGACCTAAGGGCAGGGTGCCCTTACCATTGGGAAGATCCATCTGCACACAGTGAGCAACATTCCAGTTTGTATCTTCCCTATCTGACAAGGCTTGTTTACCTTTATGGTTTCTTCCAGGTACAGTTTCCATTTCTAAAGACCATCCTTTCCTGGTTTGTTTGTGCCATTATAAACAAAGGCTTTTCCTGAGGTTTGCGGGTGTTCACCTGATACTTTTGGAACAGTGGGAATTGATTAGGTAGGGACTGTTCTGGCAAAACGGGAACAACACCTACTCAGCAAATCTAGGTCTGGGATTCCAAGGATGCTAAGGCAAGCCTCCCCGTAAGACAAAGCACGAAAAAGGCAGGTTTGCTGACTGCTTATGCCAGCTCCAAGCCTCCTATGGTCACACAAGCACATATGCATCGCCACGGAAGCATTCTTAAACGCACACGCCAGCATGCACGGTCCTGGCCTCCCGCTTCTCCCTTAGGAGATAGACGGTTATCTGGGCAGTGACACCGCTGGAATCCTTTTTCTGCACAGCAACTGAGCTACTATCGCTCGGATCTGGCCTGTGGTGGCACCGTAGAACAGGGACCTAAACCTGTGGATGTAAAGGTTACGTGGGCCTGAAGGTGCCTGCAGAGTAACGGCGGGTTTGGTCCACGTGTCACCTCCAGCTGCAGGTTGCACAGCTTTTCCTGTACTACACTCCTCAGCTGACAGTCCTAAAGTGGCCTGGGAATGCTTTCTGAAGGGCAGTGCTTGAGAGCGCTTGAGCCTACTCTGAGAATAACAGGGACCAGCTCCTGAAAATAATCATGTCTGTACTCACCTCCCACCTGAGGCCTTTCTGGTGCTCCACCTCGATCTGCACATCGCTCTGCCCTGTCCGCACTTGGCTGGGCCAGTTCCAGCTTCAAGATCAGAACATCCAGCTCGGTCGTTATGGCAATATGTCTGGCACAAAATGCAACCTCAGCGGGGATGAAGTTATCAACATGTAAAATCAGGGAGCGCTCAAAGTCTAAGACAGTCAGGTTCTGGTTGATGGCCACGTACTTCAAACAGAACAGGACCAGTTTATTTCTGCAGCCCACCAGGAGATCTCCACTGACAGGACAACACGAGACGCACAGCGGAGGATCCGAAAGCGGCATTTCCACAACTGACATCTGCTCTTTTAAAATCTCACTGTATGACTCTTCCATCTTGTGACCGACCATGCGCACGCAAACGCGAGCGCTCCCCGCAGACATGCGCCTCCAGTTCACGTACGCCCTCAGGAAAGTCGCTCTGCCTTTTTCTTCAATCGTCACCAGGTAGTCTCCTTAAAGAAAGCCGTGATACTGACACATGACTGAAGGTGACAGTTTTTCACCTGCCCTGGTGCATCACAAAGAACATCGCAAATTCTCAACTCTTACACAAAATTCCCAAACCGGTTTTCACCAGTTTTCCTCCAATGAAAACCCAAGTACAAGTTCCTCTGCTGGATGGAGCAGAGCCCGTCATCTGCCCGAGTATCCACTCTCGAGAAAATGGGGTTTTGCCCTACAGAGCAGGGAAGGCCACGGACTCGTGCAGAGCCGTGGGATGGGATGGGATGGACTGTCCACCCGCCCGTGCTCCGGGACCGAAGAACAACCAAGGACAGGAGCACAGACTCCAACAGGCACGGAGGAAGGCAAAACCCCAACCGGCTGGCCACGCACTTCCTGCTACTAGCCCAAGCGCGTCCAGCGCCTCGCAACAGCCCTCAGACCGATCCGTGCCTCAGCGCGCGCCGGCCCGCGCTGCCCGGCCCGGCCCGCTCCAACGGGAACTCC